TGGAGTCAGCATTTAGTGGGAGGAGACGGAAAGTAAACAAGATAAATTAGTAAATTATATATGGATTTAATCTATGGATTAAAGTAAAACAGGGAAGGGATACCTTTAAACGAGGCTGCTCAGGAAAGGCCTCACTGAGATGAGGTGAGGGCAGAAGCCCTGCAGGCACCCGGGAGGCGTTCCAGGCAGAGAACAACTCCTGTAAAAGGCTGGAGTGGCACGTGCCTGGCATGTGGGAGGGACAGCAGGAAGGTCAGCGTGGCTGGGAGCAGGGATGGGGGTTCAGATCAGGGGCCTGTGGTATGTTCTGGGAGGGAGCCGTGGAGGGCTTGAGCAGGGGAGTACCATATTCTGACTTGGACTTTGGCGGGATGTCTCTGGCTGCCGTGTCAGAAGAGATGTAGGAGCAAGGGTGGGGCGGGGGCCACGTAGGAGGCTATTTCATTAGGCCAGGCAGGAGATGATGTGGCCCAGGACATGGTGGTGGCTGTGAGAAGTGGCTGGATGCTGGAGAAATTCTGAAGTTGAGCCAACAGGGTTTCTGAGCAGTTGGCTATGGGGAGAGAGAGATAGGGGAGAGTCGCCACGAACCTAAAGGGTTTGGCCTGAGCAGCTGACAGGAAGGAGCCTCCTTACCTGAGATGGAGAGGACAGGAGTAGAGGAGATTCCTGGGGAAAGAGCAAAGCTCTGTTATGGATCACGTTCGGCAGATGGATTGTAGCGAAGGCAGGTGGACACCGGCATCTGTAAGTGAGAGGGCTGGAGCTGTAAATGATTGTCCCCATTTCACAGGTGAGGAAATGAGGCTCACATAAGTGAGGAGACATGCTCGTTAAGTTTGGGAGCCAAGATTCAAACCCAGGCCTCTTGCCTCCAAATCTGTGCTCTTCCCACTGCCCTGTGCCATGGACTGGCACCGCTGGCTGTCCTGCCCACCCCAGCCCCACGTTGATGGGGAAGCCCAGCTGTGCCCTGGCTGGCTTCCTTGTCTCCAGGGCTGAGCCAGGCTTGGGGGCAGGAAAGGGGGGAACTCACCAGGAAGTGGCCTGTGCTTGGGTGCGGCATGGAGGGACAGTGCCAAGTGGCCTAAGGCGCCAGCAGCCCCGTAAGCAGCTGGCCTGGCCTGAGGCCGTTATCTGACCAGCAGAGAGCATTCAGTTAGCATCGATTGGCTTAGAGAAGAGCATCTGGCAAGGCTGGGGGTGGGGGTGCTCAGCCCTGTGAGGGGAGAGAGAGCTGCAGAGCCAGAGGGATTGACCACATGGCTGACCAGTCGAGAGCCCCACAGACCTGCCGGGGGGCCACAGGGATGCCAGCTCAGCAGGCCTTCCCTGCACAGATGCAGCAGGTTGGGGTGAGCAGCCCAAGACCTTGGGGCCTGGGATGGCCAGCCAGCCCTCAGGGAGGCTTCCCTGTCCACTCTGCAGTGTGGAGCTGGGGTAGAGCCCTGGATTCAGAGTTAGTGGGCGAGGCCTCTCCACTGCCCTGCTCCCCAGCTGTGTGGCCTTGGCCAGTCCTTACCCTCTGGGTGCCCCATTTGCTCCTCTGTGAAATGGTGCTGCTCCCACAGGGTCACTGTGAGGACTCCATTGAAAGAACACGTGCAGAGATAGTGCTGGGTCCTCCTTGGTTGGTTCCCTTCCTGTTTCCAGGGGCCAAGAAGCTGCACGGCCCCTGCCACAATGGCCATCTGGCCTGTGCCTGGGGCAGGGGCCCTGTCGGTGCTGATCCCAGTGGGAAGTTCTATGGCCACCCCAGCCCTGGGTTCCCCCAGCCCAGCTGAGCTGAGGTTACAGCTTCCTCGGAAGCTCTCTACTCAGAGCCTGAGAGAGAGGTGGCCCAGGGCGAGAAGGGGGCCTGCCACTTGCTCCCCCACCTCAGCTCCACTGCACATGCTGTTTCCTTGCTCTTCCCTTCCCACCCACCCGACCAGGTCTGGTCCCCATGGCTCATAAGCACATCTGGGGGCTGCTGAGTGGACTGGGTGAGGTGCCTGCCCATGCTCAGTTCACACATCCCTGCCTTCATGGTCCCTGCCCAGCAGGCAGGGGTTGTGAGGTTTGCAGGAAGGAGAACCTGAAACTATCAGCTTTCCTTGACCATGCCTCTTCTGTGCTGGACACCATGCTAAACGCTGAGCGGACTTATTGCACTGAATCCTAAGTCAACCCCATGAGGCAGGGACCCTTATCCCCATTTCACAGATTAAAGATGCCAGGAGGGGGCCGGCCCGGTGGCACACTGCTACAGTGCGCCGCTTGGGAAGTGCGGCGGCGCTCCCACCGAGGGTTCGGATCCCACATACAGACCGGCCGCTCACTGGCTGAGTGAGGTGCGGGTGCAACACCGAGGGTTGTGATCCCTTGCCGGTCCCAGTCCGGTACGGGCACGACACTGAGGGTTGCGTTCCGTTGCCAGTCACGAAAAAAGACAAAAAGAAAAAAAAAAAAAGATGCCAGGAGGGAGCTGGCCGATTTGCTTACCTGGTAGAGCTCAGTGCTGATAACACAAGGTCAAGGGTTCGGATCTCTGTACCAGCCAGCAACCAAAAAAAAAAAAAAATACTCCAGGAGTTTGAGATGCATCAGGCAGCTGACCAGTGACGGAACAATGTTTGCAGGCAGCATGGTGGTGACAAGGGCCTTCCCTCAGTCCCCCACCCCCATACACAGCAAGGCACCTTGCCGGACTGCCTAATATTGTGAGTTCCCCCTTCTGCTAGTGTGCTGTGAGCACCCGCCAGCCATGTCCTCACCACACTGGCTCCTCTGCCACTCCAGGACTCAGGCAGCAAGTGTTGAATAGAGGAAGGAAGGAATGAGGCTGTGGAGACGCCTGTGAACTCAGATGTGTGGGAGGCCAGGAGCCTTGGGAGTAGCCATGCAGTCATTGGAGTGCGTGCCCCCGGAGGAGAAGGAGAGCCAGGGAAGGCCCGAGGCAGCCCAGCCTTGCTTTCTGCAGCCCCTGCCCCACCCAGGAGGGCTGAGAAGGCTGGTCAGAGGGGTGCCAGTCTCCTCCACGGAGACTTGGGTGTCCGCTCATTTATAATCTTAAAATGCACAGCAAAGGCACAGGCCTCATTGTTAGTACATTAATCAGGCAATCAGCAGGTTGGGGCTCCCAAGGGCCGCATGAAGCAGGCACAAGATGAGCCGTGGCAATGTAGTGCTGGCCCCCCTGTGAAGAAACCTGGCAGGGTGACAAGACAGGGCCAGGCATCTGCTGGCTTCTGGGGTGGAGACACAGACTCAACTGAGGCCCCCAGTAGGAGGGGCAAGAGTATCTGGGAGGGCAGCTTCCCTGGCATGGGTCCCCTTGTATCCGGGCAGTTCCGAAGGATGGAGAGCAGCTGTCCTGGGCTCAGATCCCAGCCACCTATCTTGCGAGATGCCCTCCATCTTCCTTGGGCTTTGGATGGAAGTGACTGCCCCATATGGTCCCTGTGGCCTTGTTGCCCCAGCCGCCACCGCAGCCGTGATATAGTGGCATGTTCTTCCTTGAGATGATAGGGCGTGTGAGCGAGTCCCTGCACCAAGCCTCAGCTGGGGGCCCTGCCTCGGGGACCCTCTCTGCCCCCCCCCCCCCCCCCCCCCCCCCCCCCCCCCCCCCCCCCCCCCCAGCTACTAAACCCACACCTGGATTTGGGGCACTTTGGCTTTTTCACCTAAACTGGGGTCCTCACCTGATTTCCCTTGTGCCCTGATATCCCCTGGAGGCATCTGCTTTCTGTCTGAGGGGGATACATCTCTCCCTGTGGCCCCCTAACTTGTCCAGGGGTCATTTTGGAGAACTCCATCCTGGGGCCTTATGGAGTCAGAGCCACAACAGCAGGGGGAGGAAAGCTGTCCCCCCACCCACCGCCCCCCACCTCCACCACACAGGGCAGTTCTGAGGATCAGAGAAGCATGAACAGAAGCCCTTTGTAAACTCCAACAAGCTGTACAAATGTCGAGTGGATTTAGCGCTTAGCCTGCCACAGCTCACCACCCCTGCTGCCGCAGCAAGGTCTCTTTTGCTGCAAACTAAGGGAAGGAAATGCCTTTGTCTTTGCAGGATCCCGGGTGGAGGTTGTGTGGCCATGGCCCTGTCTCCTTCAGCCTGAGATGTGGGATGGGGCACAGTGAGCACCGTGAATGCCTTTGAGCTAGGACAGACACCTTGGGCTCCCTCAGAGTGTCAGGGCAGGGGCTGCTCCCTGGGGGAGGGTTCCTGCAGGTGCAGCCTTCCTGGAGGATAGCAGCCTGGACAGGGGTGAGGAGTGCGAGCTGAGCGAGAAGATATGGATTGTTGGCCCTGTGGAGGGTGCAGCCAGTGTGGGCTGAGCCCCGTCCCAGCCCTGGGTGCGGATGCTTAAGGTAGTGTGGGCAGGCTCCCTGAGAGTTGGCTGGGGTTTGGAGCCCAGGTTCCTCACACCCCTGCTCCCACTGGAGGACTGGGGTTCCCTGGCAGGTGGAGGCGGGCAGTGAGGAGCTAGATGCCAGGCCTGGAACTTTTAGTGGGAAGGCCTTGGCATAGTGATCATCTGCTATGCATGTTACGGAGGGGTAAACTGAGGCTGACGTGGCAGCAGACTTGGCCTGGCCTGCAGGTTGTCTGGTGGTTGGGGGACTGAAGGCACTGCAGAGGCAGCATAGAGCATGGCCTGGCCCAGTAAAGGTCCTCAAAGCTGTGCTGCTGCCACCACCGAGGTCATAATTGTTCTGAAATTGCATCCGAACCCAATTATGCAAAAACAAAATTATGTGCGATGATTTTTATGTGTTGCAAACGTTTGGTCGAAGCTGGGTGATTACAGGGGGACAGGAAGCAGCTGCCACTCTCTGGGAGCCCATAACTCCCAACAGCTGGGAGCTGTCACTTATTTACCACACCGTTTCTGCCAGGAACAAGGGGTGGCAGTGGCCGTGAGGCCTGCTCGGCCGAGAGCCTGGGCAGGCAGCCGCATAAGGCTGAGAGTGGGCCGGCCCAAGTATAGCCAGGAGGTTGGTTCTCTCATCCTATGTGCTCTGAGCGCAGTGGGCAGCAGGAGGACTCAGCTGCCCCAGGCGCCCAGCTCTCCCGAGAGACTCGGCTGGACAAGCTGGAAGAGGAGGGGCAGGAGGCCAACCCGGGCAGGGAGGAGGTGGCTGCCTGGCCCCCAAGGGTGAGGGTCTGTAGGCCTGGAGCCTGTCTCCCCGCCACCCTGGCGCGCCTGCCGGGCCGCCTGGGGCAGCTGAGACCCTGGAAAAAGGCAGGTAATGACGATCGTCCATAATAAGGCTGCTCCGATAATGAGCGCGGGGCTATTATCCAACCACAGGCTGGACACATCCGAAAATAAATTATTTTAAGGATCCATTAATGAATGCCTAATTAATGCCCAATTAGAGGGAAGCTACAGAGGAAATGCTGTGGACAGTTGAGAGGCAAGGCCTGGTTTTGCATCCATGGCCTGGGAGGCAGGAGAGGAGGGGGTCCAGAAGGGAGCCCGGGTTGGGGGCAGCCTTGGTCTGGCAGCTTTGTGGGCCCTGGAGCCCATCAGCCCTGGAGCCACCCCCAGTCCTTCACAGACATGTGCCCTCTCAGTACATCCACACAGCTATGAGATGGAAAACTATTACTGTCTGTATTTTAGAAATGAGGAAACTGAGGCATAGAGGGGGTGTCTCATATTTGAGGACATGGAAGACACTGTGAATGAGACATTTTTCACTGTGAACTTTGGTGTCATGCATGCATGCTTTGCTTGGGAATAATTTAAATAAAAAGATTCCTCAGGATTCCATGTGAGATATTTACTTAGAACAAAAGTCGGCACCACTATCGTGAATTCAGATAGCAATAAACGGTGGCAGAGCTGGGACAAGAGCCGGAGGCTCAGTGGCTGTGCCCATGGGTTGTGCCCGTCTCCCCCAGCCTGAAGGGGTGGGGCTAAGGGGCTTTAGGGGCGGGGCCAGCGAGGTGGGGGATGATCAAGGCCTTCACCCCAAACTCACCTCCCAGCTGAGGCTGGGGAAATAATCCCCAGTAGAGGTGGGAGCGCCAAGGAACAGGGAGAGGCAGTTCCCAGACGGGGTCCAGGATTGGACCCTGACCCCTGCTTTCCTCCAGTCACAGCCACACTCTCAGGGGCTACCATCCCAGACCACTGAGTGCAGCAAAGATGAGGACAGAGCCCCAGCGGGCCCTGAAGTGTCATGTGAGGTCCTCTCCCCACACCCACCTGGCTCTCGCCTCCCAGGCTGTCTCTGACCTGGCTGTGCTCTCTCTCCCTGCCAGGGTGCTGCGTGGAGCTGCTGCTGCTGCTGCTGGCTGGGGAGCTGCCCCTGGGTGGCGGCTGCCCGCGGGACTGTGTATGCTACCCAGCGCCCATGACAGTCAGCTGCCAGGCACACAACTTTGCTGCCATCCCCGAGGGCATCCCCGAGGACAGCGAGCGTATCTTCCTGCAGAACAACCGCATCAGCCTCCTCCGGCAGGGCCATTTCAGCCCTGCTATGGTCACCCTATGGATCTACTCCAACAACATCACCTTCATTGACCCCAACACGTTCGAGGGCTTTGTGCACCTGGAGGAGCTGGACCTTGGTGACAACCGGCACCTGCGGACACTGGCACCCGAGACCTTCCAGGGCCTGGTGAAGCTTCATGCCCTCTACCTCTATAAGTGCGGGCTCAGTGCCCTGCCAGCGGGCATCTTTGGCGGCCTGCACAGCCTGCAGTACCTCTACCTGCAGGAAAACCACATCGAGTACCTCCAGGACGACATCTTTGTGGACCTGGTCAACCTCAGCCACCTGTTTCTCCATGGCAACAAGCTATGGAGCTTGGGCCAGGACACCTTCCGGGGCCTGGTGAACCTGGACCGGCTGCTGCTACATGAGAACCAGCTGCAGTGGGTCCACCACAAGGCTTTCCACGACCTCCGCAGGCTGACCACCCTCTTTCTCTTCAACAACAGCCTCACGGAGCTACAGGGCGACTGTCTGGCCCCCCTTGGGGCCCTGGAGTTCCTCCGCCTCAATGGGAACGCCTGGGACTGTGGCTGCCGGGCACTCTCCCTGTGGGAATGGCTGCGGAGGTTCCGAGGCTCCAGCTCTGCCGTCCCCTGCGTGTCCCCTGAGCTGCGGCATGGCCAGGACCTGAAGCTACTGAGGGCCGAGGACTTCCGGAACTGCACAGGGCCAGCGTCCCCACACCAGATCAAGTCACACACGCTTACCACCACCGACAGGGCCGCCCGCAAGGAGCACCACCCACCCCACGGCTCCGCCAGGGACAAGGGCCACCCACACGGCCATCTGCCCAGCTCCCGACCAGGCTACAAGAAGCCAGGCAAGAACTGCACCAGCCACAGGAACCGCAACCAGATCTCTAAGGCGGGCACCGGGAAACAGGCCCACGAGCTGCAGGACTATGCCCCCGACTACCAGCACAAGTTCAGCTTTGACATGATGCCTACGGCACGACCCAAGAGGAAGGGCAAGTGTGCCCGCAGGACCCCCATCCGTGCCCCCAGCGGGGTGCAGCAGGCCTCCTCTGGGAGTTCCCTGGGAGCCTCGCTCCTGGCCTGGATACTGGGGCTGGTGGTCACTCTCCGCTGAGGACCCAGGGCGCCAGCACCCAGCACTGCCACATGTTCACCAAGGAACAGAATTTCTTTTCTTCTTTTTTTACTAGGGGAGGATTTGCTGGGTTTCAGGAAAAGGCTCCTAAAGGCTTTGGCTGTTGTCTGGACCCTGCCCAGTGGATTATAAATCCGAAGTGTACAGCCCTAGGCGGGAGGGGATTAGTACATCTCACCCAGCTGTCCCAGCCAGCTCTCACTGAGCACCCACAGACAGCATCCACTCCAGCAAGGAGGCAAGAGGCACACTAAGTGGATCCTTCATGAGCAACAATGGGACAGTCACCTCTCACGGGAGCTGGGCTCCCTGGAATCCTGACCATTTGGAGAGGTCTGAAGGGCCCTGCTATTCCTGGAGGAAGCAGGACTCAGATAAGAACAAACAGCTCACCTAAGAGGCTGGGTCGACCAGCAGTCTGGGAGCACATGAGCAGGTGGCATTGCGGCTCTTGCCTGAGGCCACTTAATCAACCTGCCCTGAATCCATCCCTATGCCACCTTAAGTCCCTCCCTTGGGGGTAACGCCTCTCATTCCTGATGTCTCAGGCATCCCTGGCAGACACAGGCCCAGCTGCTGGGGTCCAAGAACAACTTACCAAAGGAAAGATCATCAGAGGCTGAAACTTAGAACTTCATCACATGCAGTGAGGTTCTCCCAGAAGGTGCAGTTTTATAACTATGTCCACTTATATATATACACACTCTACATATATATATATATACAAATGCACAGGTCCCCCGCCCCACTCCATTACCAAACTGTATGTCTTATGTTTATAAACTATACAGAGAACTGTATCTGCTGGACTAAGGATTGTATTGGTGATTTCTAGCAAGAAAAAAGTTATAGAATTTTTGTCTAGAATCCCAACTTGACAGCAATGGTCCCCATGTAACCTGGGCTTCCATGGGCCTGGGGCAAGGTTCAGTGGGGAGAATTAAGGAGAAGGGGAGGCAGCAAGAATCACTTCAGAAGACCAACATTCTTAGATATTTAGAGCATCACCTTGTTTTCATATGTAACACAAGCCTGTCTGTCACCCTGGAGCACCCCAGCACCCCTCCTGTACTCACTGTTGGCTTCAGGATGAGAGGTGAGAAGCCGCTTGTCAAATGTCAGGGAGCCAAGGCCCGGGGGTGAGGTGGCCAGATGAGAAGGGGAAGGAAGGGACTTTGGGCTTCTCAAGCCAGCAGGCGAGGCCGTATCCACAGTGTTAGTCCAACAGGTTGGACAGTGTCGTCAGCCTCGCGTTTTGCAAGGGATGGTCTAGACAGGCCAGGGAGACTCTGGGCATGAGCCCAGGCCTCCAGCTGGGCTCAGCTGCTAAACTTTTCCTGAGGCTCTTTGGTAAGCGACCTGGCAAGGGCCCTGTGGAGGGTGGCAGGAGGGAAGCATCAGGTGGCCTTAGCAGAAGGAGGACGATGGGCATTTCGAGAACTGTCTCAGGCACTTCTGCAGGATGGAGGCCCTATCCCTCCTGGCCCTTCTGGAGATGCCCCAGGACAGGCAGAAGTCAGGAGGCCAGACTCAGGGGTCAGAGGCGGGGACAGGAAGCATGCAGGGACTGGAGCAGGCAAGCCCAGACAGGGGAGGGGGCTCCATCACAGTCCACCGTGCTGCCGGCCAGGGGCCCAGGCAGCACAGTCTCCTCTGCGCTTTGCACAAACCCGAATCCCCCACCAGAGAGGACATGTGTGAGGAGCAAGAAACACTGAATCCAATTAAGAGAGGAAAATGATAATAATAAAAAAATTCTCTTGGACAAGAACCCTGTTTTTCATTTCCTAACCCCGCATTCCTGACAAGGTGGCAGATCTTGGGCTTTTATGGGTGGGCGAGCCCAGCCAGGCCCAGCTCTGAGAACACAGAGTGTTTGTTGGCAGGAGGAGCCGTAGGGGGCAGGGGCACACTGACTCAGAGGGACACCGCCAGCACGCACGCGCGCTTGTTCTCTGTTCTGTGGCTCTTCTCTCGCCTGCGCGGAACATGATTCATTTCCCACATTCTGGCTGCACTGGGTCGGCACCGTCTCTGTGTCTCTCCCTGGAGCAGGCTGGTCCTGCATCCTTCCCGTCTGTTCCCAGAGCCTTGGCAGCAGCTGCTGAGTTATTGATTCCCAGGGGGCTGGAGGGTGGCTGGAAGGGGACAGCCAGTTCCTGGGACCCAGAGGGTTTTCCAAGTTGCCAGGGACAGACCCAGACAGTGGTGGGCAGGGCCTGGAGGCTGAACTTGCCCTTCTGGCTTCAGAGAAGGGAGAGAATTCCCCAGACAAAGGGAGGAGGACGGTGTTTTCAGGCCTGGCTGGACAAATCCTCAGTACAAGGCTTGGAACATTCACTAAAGGGAGCCCAGCTACAGCAGAACAAATCATGTCCAGCCTGTAGTTTCTCCCCAAGGGTCTGCTTGCACTCACCCGGCCAGTGCCAGGGCCCAGCTGTCCCTTAGAACCCAACGAGGTTGTTATGTTGTTGATTTCATTTCCAACTTTAGATAGCAAAGCCCTCAGTGGGAAAATCAAGAGTCTAAGCACTTTATTAAATTTTTTTAAAAAGACTTAGGAAGTCCTGTAATATGGAAGTGCAATGTCAGTACAAGAAATGCTAATGTTTTATAAATGATCTGCTTCTGTCAAGCACAGCGCAGTCTCTGGTTGCCGACTGTTATCAGAGGCAAGGCAGTAGGGCCTAGGACACCAGGTGTATTTTTAGTAGCTTTCTCCTCTGAGAGGCAGGGGGACTAAAGGCAGCTTTGTCGCAGGTGACATCACATCTCACTCAGCAGCTCACATGCTACATACATATGCAGTCACGATGACGCCGTTGTCCCAAACATCAAAGCAAGTGGATGGTCAGGGGCCAAGTGAAGGCCCCTCATTCGTCAGACCCCATGACCCCCCTGAGTCGTTCAGGATAGGGAGATGGGATTCCAGTCTCCCCAGGGGTGGAGGCCACCCCTCCCTTGTTCCCGATGAGGCCCAGCCCCTCTGCCGTCTTTGCTCAGCACTTTCCGTGAGCCATCTCTTGTCCCTCCCTCCCTGCCTGACACAGCCCTCCACTCCTGGCAGGCAGACAGGAGATGTCGGTGGCCACGGGTGGTCTCCAAGTTTCTCTGCACACGCTCCTCTCGCTCCTCTCGTGACCTCAGAGCATGGCTGGCTCCCCACGGTTCATTCAACAAAAGCTGATCAAGGGCCTCCATGTGCCAGCCATTGTTGAAGCTCTGGGGACACAAAAGAGAGACTTGGCTCTCTGTGAGGAGCTCAGAGCCTAGATGTGGAAACAAGTGTTCCTCAACCAGTGTGGAATTCCTGCCTGTGTTAGTAGCCCACACCCCCCAAAAATGAGGAGCTCGGCTGCGGTGAGGGCAGTCAGAGAGAGCTTCCAGGAGGAGGTGACACTCTGATGGGTCTCAGAGGACGAGGAGTTGGCCAGAGAAGAATGTAGGGAGTGTTCCAAGCAGAGGGCTGGAGGTGCGCAGTGCATAGGGTCTGAGGTATCCACAAACAACTGCGAGTTGAGTGAGGGCGGGGGGCGCTGTTTCTGGAGGTGTGGAAGATGAGCCTGGCACGGGGGCGGCCCCGGGGCTCCTGCTCAGGGGCTTGGTCTCTACTCTGGAAGTGGAGGGGATGTGTGGCTCCCACACGTGGGGTCTTCTCCCTGCTCCTCCCGCCTGTCTGTGTGCACGTGGTCCCCGCCGTGGCAGGCTTGCCAATGTTCCTCAACAGTGGGTTTCATCCGTTAAACTTGCCTCTTGTGCTCAGCCAGATCCTTCCCTTGTGCCAGCAAGCTGGAGCGCTTGCTGGAAATCTGCCTGGGCCCCAGTCCCATTCCCAGACACCTGCTGCCTCCAAGCTCAGAAAGTATTCCACAACTGCGCTGTCTCTGCAGCCCTGCACTCCTGGCCTCCCACCCACAGAGCCCGCCCTCAGCCCCTCCTTGCTTCTGAGCAGCCTGCCCAGATGCCCGGCCACCTCTGCCATCTCTGCACGTGTCCACTCTGGCTGCGCATCAGCAATCCCCAGAACCCCACACCCCAAACTGCTTCTCCCTCTTTCCTACCCCACTAGGGTTGTTCCTTCCCCGGGAGCCAAGAATCCCATTTGGCAAAAGTTTACTCATCAACTAACTAATCACCCAGCATCCTGACACCCCAGCCAGGTGAATGAGGGCTCCAGGAAGGCCGGTGAGTGGTCTGAGGAAGCCGGGAAGGCCTCTTAGAGGACGAGCTGCAGGGCCCCGGGTCAGGGAGAATGAGTTTGCTGGGGAGGCTCACTGCAGCCAGTGGGGAGCCCTCGGCAAATTGTCCTTCATTTTTGCACCAAGTCCCCTGGCTGTCCCCACCAGTCCCTGACCAGACCCACCTCCAGGCCATGAGGGACACAGCTCCTCCAGGCCCTACTCTGCACTGAGCTGGGGGAAGCCAGCCTTTCTCTGTGTACATTCTTTGAGCAGGGGCGAGGGTCCTGCCCAACACCTATTTTGAGACTCACATGGCTGTGGTCGCCCTGTGGCTCATCTCCTCTGCAGCTTCACCTTCCTCTAAGTAAGAATTTAGCCATCAGCCACCACTCCACCCCGTGTCACCAATCCCCACTATCAGTTCGTAATGGGCCAATTTTCTTTTACCTTCTGTCTGCTTAGAAAAATGTCTCAAGACCCTTTGATTGTGTGTTAAAATATCCTTTACAATTCTATGCTCGATATCTCTTTCTGCTCCTCTAATTGTCCCTTTTAACTCACTGCACTTTTGGTATAAATCTCCCAGTCTCCCTCCTTTTCAGGCTGGTAATAAATACGAGCTCTAGAAAAATATACATAAACATCTATTGTTGGCTAAATAACTCACAGCACAACCAAAAAGCTGGAAAAAGAGGTTCAGCGCAGTGAATGCCCACCTGCACCCACTCACTCACGTTGTCCTCACCCGCTTCTTTTAGGAGGGCTGCTGGAGCCAGGGTCTTTTGTGGCCCTAAAAAGTCCACTGCATGGAGGGACCAAGGATGTCCCAGGTGAGAAAAGGAAGAGAGAGAAAGAGAGTAGCTGTGTCCACAGGGCTCCCTCCAAGAGCTACGAGCGAGAGAGGTGAGGACAGAGGAGACCTAGTGCAGGGAGCGGTGGCTAATTTAAGTGGCATTTCAGTGGGCTGGCCCACGAGGCCCCTTACTGCCAAAAGAAGTGGGTCAGCCTCCTCCAACACACAGCACCAGCCTGCACTGCCCACCCCCACCCCTCTCCTCTCGGCTCTCATTTCTCATTAGAGCTGTTAGTTTCTAACCACCAGGAGGGTGGGCAAGGCTGTGCCTTTGTGTCACCGATGTCTGTGTGGCAGCGTGCACACTAATGGCATGCCTGAACGGCAGAATTTGACATTGCTGCTGCAAAATGTGCTTGGGCCACAGTGCTTTCCAAATTGGCTGAGGCTGCACGCCGCCCCCTCCTCCTTCGCCCAGGCGTCTCAGAGCCCCTGCCAGCCACAGCTTCTGCTACTGCCTCTGAGGGCCTCAGAAAAGAGAGGAAGCGAGAGATGTATTAAACTCTTCAATCTCTGTAAGTACCATTTCCCAGGAGACGACTCTAAGGAAGAAGGAAATGCCAGTGTTCAGGACCTAAACAGGTAGGAGACCTCAGAGGCAGCAGGCTCTGTGTCACCTCCCCCTCGCCCCCACCACTTCAGGGACAGTCACAGGCAAGACAATGATGCCCTCTGAGTGGCAGTGTCCAAGTGGCCACTCACCGCTGCAGCCAGAGAGACATGAGGGATGATCACCAAATGAGACTTTCTCAGGGACGAGGGCCAGCAGCTGAACCCACAGAGGGAACAGCGGTGTGGGCTGGACGGGCAGGGCAGGGTGGTCTCTGAGCAAGACCCCAAAGGGCGCACACACAGGTCACTTGGAGAGGGAGAAAGCACATCTCCACGGAGCAATCGTGTAGCCAGAGAGTCAGAGGCAGGGAGACACGCAGACAGACAGACAGACTGACAGACAGACAGGAGGGCACGATAGGGAGAGAGGCATTTTCCACACACACACACATGCGCATGTGCTCACACACACGTCACTCAAGCCCAGCGTCCTGTCGCTCTCCCTCATGCAGCCACGTGTGGTACCTGCACATAGCGAACAGATTTGAGCCCCAACAGAAGGCAAAGCCCCGGCCAGGCCCTGGGTGCCGCGGCGAAGGGCCCTGCCCGTATGCAGCTCACATCCCAGCGGGGAGAAAGCTGTAGAAAACCGGGTCCCCCGTTATTCAATTACAAGAGTGGTTGTCAGGAGAGTGGCAAAGAGTCTGCCACGCAGATGTCACTCAGGAAGAGTGAAGGGTGGGGGCCAATCCCACGCTCCACACGTGCTGGTTACCATCCATCAGGGACACGGGCTGTTGTGTGACAAGGGGGCAGATTCCGGTCTGGGCCCTGGGCTGGGGCATTTCCCACTGAGCCCTGGCCCTGAAGGGTTCATCCAGCTCTCAGTGCCCTGGAGGCTCCGTGGAGGCTGGGTCCCCAGTCCCACCGGTGCCTCACCTGTCCAGTGTGTGTTTCGAAGCTCTGTACTCCATGGGCCACCTGAGCCGTAATGACATTCTCCTCCTGCACGAGGGGTCATAGAGGTCTCCAAGGTGTTTTTATTCTTTGTCCCAGCATCACAGCCTCAGAGGCCCTGAGGTCCCTGACCCCTCATCTCACCTGCCTCCGGGAGAGTCTCTCACTGTTTTATCTGTGGCATTTAAAGTGCCACCAAGCGTCTGGCACTTTGCAAGTCTAAGGTAC